GAGGGTGGCCGTGCCCAGGGGAAACCCCTTGCTGTTTTTTGCATGGCACCACAAAAGTTGGCTTGTGGCCTCTCTCTAGCTGCCCTCAGGCGGCCGTTCCCATCGGCCCTTGCTCACATCATCAGGGGCGGAGTAGGAAGGTGATCGGCCGGGTCCCCTTGTCCAAAAAGTAACCTTCAAACTTGGGCTGAAGGATCTTGCCTTCAAAGGTCAGTCTGAGCAAGAGGACAACTCGGTGGCCACCGTCTGGGGGACCCCATCGACCGGGCCACCTGCGAGGAGAGCCAGCCTGGGTGGCCTTGGGCCAGCTGGCTGGTGGATTCTGGAAGTAGTAGTCCCAAAGGACCACGTTCTCATGTCTCTCTCTGTTGCTGGTGTTTTCAGAGGGGGAGCGCCTTGGCCCGTTGCAGCCCCCACAGGAGCCTCCTGGCCCACTCAAAGCTGATGCCAGAATCACCTTGTGAGCCTTTCCAATGTTTCGTTGTGCCCGGGGAAGCAGCCTTGAGGTTTCTATGGTGGGTGGGTTGGTTTGCTCCCTGCAACCTTATGTGATCCTTTGACTTCTTTTGAGCCACCTCCTACGGAGAAGTGCGCCCTGCGGACTGTGAGAGGTTGAGAGCTGCCTGCAGTGTGCAGAGAGGGAGGTGGCATGCCCTCTTCCCCCCCCCCACACACAGTGTTTGGGCTTTCATCGTTTGCTTTTTAATTAGAAGAGCTGGTCACCGATGTCCTTGGAGATCACGAGCGGTTTGGCCCGGAGTCACAGGCCGTTCCCCGTTAATACCCCATTCATGCCATGCATTAACCCTGGGAAACCAGCCGGGGGGGAAAATCAGCACTTCTTACCGGCAGAGGTTTTCCATTTGCACGACAGGGCATGGCTTATGAAATGCTAGTTTCTGCTTTGCAGGAGGCAGGAATGACCCAAAGTTTTGCTTTGCTTCCAAGGCACAAGAAGAGGATTCTCACTTCTGTGGCATTGAGAAAGGCACTTGCCCAACCTGGGCTAGTGCTATAGCATTACAGCGCTGTAGTGATCTCTCTCTCTCTCTCTAAATTAGAAAGTGACGAGTGGAGCCAGAGTAGAGCGGGACAAGGTGAACATGCCTTTTCAGAAGTGATCCTCATCCATTCCTCCTGGAATCCGAGGAGCAATCGGTTACTCCCAAAAGGCCTGTCCACCCTTTGTCCTGCTTCGCTCATGTTAATCCTCACCACGCTCTCATTTAGATGGCCTGATGCAGACTTAATTACTCCACAGCTACTTTCCTTGGCCCTTAGGGGGGTCCGGGATTTGCATTAAATGCTGAGATACCAAGGTGGTGTTGACGTGGAAGGCAGAGAAAGGGGCCGGTATGGGGTAGTGGTTAGAGCCTTGGACAGTGAGCCGGAGAGACCACGTCCAGTCCACACTTGAGCCACGAAACTCACGGGACGCCCTGCATTCCGTCACTGTGTCTGCCCCAGTTTGCTGGGAAGGTAAAACTGGGAGGCATGGAGCCCCCATTAAACTCGCTGGAGGAAAAAGTAGGAGATGGAACTACAGTGATAAATAAGGGATAAACTGATTCAAGGACAAGCGATTGGCACAAGAGAGGAGCATGTCCCCACCTCCACGAGTGAAAGATGAATTGCACTCAGTGGAACTCACTTCTGAGTAGACACCTAAGAGGTGTGCTCTGTGGATCCAAGTTACGGCTGTGGGTCCCGAACCATTTCAAAAGTGGCTTTGCTTTTTTAGTCAACTGGAATGATTTTGCCCTCATTCCAAAGAGAATGTGTGTCCCTGCATGCATGCACCAGTCCCCCACCTGGAAATCTTATTATCCATGCAAGGTGAAGATGATGAGATTTGTGGTCCAAAACCTTTGCAGGGTGCCCAAAGTGGAAGAAGGCTAGGCTACACACACACCCCTCTCCCCCGGAATCCCTGATAACGGTCACTGTCCCCATTCATCAGTCAACCACCCACCCTTGTTGCTTCCGCATTAGTGATTTAGTTTGAAATGGACACCCAGCGTTCTCCTGTTTTCCCAAAACCTGGAGGTGCTGTTGCTGGTCGTTAATGTTTTCTGAGTCCCCGTCTCCTTTTTCTCAAGGGGTAAAAAGCAAACAACCCTTTAAAAAGCAATCATGGTGCCTGCCGGTCCAATGTGGATGAACAAAACACCATTGTGATTTTTCAGACCTTATTGCGCTCTTAATTGCTAGCTTCCTTCTTGTGCCCGATGCCCATTTTAGTGGTTCCTGCTAAATAACGCTCGCTTTGCCACGGAAAAGAAAAAATAATAAGAGAAGGTCCATAAACCCCAGTCTACCCCACTCGCCCAATGGGAGAGAAGCTAACTAATTGAAATGACAATTAAGAAGGCATTTCTGCTGCCCCTCTCAAGAGGGAGCAATGAATGGAACAGAGGATGTAAGAGGAAAGCTACCAATTAACATTGCTCGGGACCTTCTCGAACACATCGTTTTTTCTTTTCTTTTCGCCTTGCTGGTAGTTTCCAGAGCGATTACATCTCTTCAATAGTCACAAGGTTAGCACTACCTAAAGAACACCCATTCCTCTGTGGCCAGGTGTGTCTCCTAAGGTGGCCATATTCCCCCTTTTATGAAGGGCAGTCCTCTCTGTGCAAGGTTATTAGAGGCTAGCTTGTTATTCGGAGGGGGTCTTCCGATGGACAAACCCTTGAGCCCAAGATAAAGGAGCCCAAGAAGGAGGATGGGCGGCGGCGGGGGCTTAAGTTGTCCCTGAACAGCCGACTAAGTCACACAGGTCACCTGGCCTGGCCTTCACCCACGATAGTGAAATGAGTTAGGATTATTTGTTAGTGTAACTTGTTAAAGAGGATGAATCATTCTAAAGACGAGAAAAAGAGGTCACTCACTTTCATCCTAAGGTGGCCATATTCCCCCTTTTATGAAAGGCAGTCCTCTCTGTGCAAGGTTATTAGAAGCTAGCTTGTTATTTGAAGGGGGTCTTCTGATGGACAAACCCTTGAGCCCATGTTCGGTCTAAAGATAAAGGAGCCCAAGAAGGAGGATGGGCGGCAGCGGGGGCTTAAGTGGTCCCTGAGCAGCCGACTAAGTCACACAGGTCACCTAACCTGGCCTTCACCCACGATAGTGAAATGAGTTAGGATTATTTGTTAGTGTAACTTGTTAAAGAGGATGAATCATTCTAAAGACGAGAAAAAGAGGTCACTCACTTTCATCAGCTAGGATATATATTGTACAGTACTTTTAAGAAAGGGCAGGAGCAGGAAGAAGCAGGAATCGGCCGAAAGAGTACCAACCTTAATCGTAGATCTAGAAAAGACCAGAGAAACGTGTCAATCCAAATTTGTTTCCAGAGATCTGATCGGCTCACTGAGATGGGATAGCGTAGACCCCTTTCTAGCCATTCTGGAGGACAGCACAGGATGATGGGTTTTGTTTGAACATTAGGAAAAACCTTCTAATAATAAGAGCTGTTGGGTCATGGAAATTACGTTTTTGGATCTAGGGAACCCGAAATCTTATTCCTTTTTTTGTAAAAGATTGAAATAACTTTTTGGACTACAACTCCCGGCGTTGGGAGGTGTCTGGGAGCTGTAGTTTAAGAAAACCAAGGTTTCCAAGCTCCTTGTGGAACAACTTCCTGGAGGTGTCCCTTCTCTGAAGGCATCGAAATAGATGCCAGATGTCGATCTGCTAGAGACGCTGAAGCAGTATCTGGTCTTCTAGATCCTATACGGCTCGATCTGCTAGAGACGCTGAAGCAGTATCTATATGGCCGTGGTTTCCACAACAATGGGCCTCCAGATGTTCTTGGACTTCCAGAAATCCTGGCCAGCAGAGGTGGGGGTGAAAAGGCTTCTGGGAGTTGTAGTCCAAGAACATCTGGAGGACCCAAAGTTGGGGAAACCCCTGCTCTACAGGACAGAGGGGTAGACTGGACGGTCTCAAGATTTTCCTTCAAATGCATGTTTCTCTTTCTTGGAAGATCTGTGAGTTGGCTGTGGGTCCAGCACCTATAGAAAACAACCACTGCCACCACCCTCAGTAAATTTAGCATTCAGTTCTGCTTGTTGATGAAGGGACTTGGGTCCTTTTTGAGGAGAAAGGCGGGGTAATTTTTTTTTTACCTAAATGAATTGTAATAGACCTTCGTTACGTTCTGTGTCATCAAGAGGCTTCCCACTTAATGGTGACCCTAAGAGGTTTTCTGTGGTATGTATGTGAAATATTCATGAAGAGTCTCACCGTGGCCACCCCCTCCCCCAGTAAGTTTCAACGATCAAACAGAAATTTGAACTCGGGTCTCCTGCGTCCTAGTGGGTTGATTCTATCCATGACATTTGGCTCTCGGTTGAGTCTGAGTCATATATATGCCGTGTTTTCCAAAACATAAGACAGGGTCTTATATTAAGTTTTGCTCCAAAAAACGCATTGGGGCTTATTTTCACGGGATGTTTTATTTTTTTCATGTACAACCATCTACATTTAGTCAAATACAGTCATGTCATCTTCTGGTTGCTGCACAAGGGTGGAGGACGAGGGTTTCACTTCACTGGGGCTTATTTTCGGGGTAGGGCTTATATGACGAGCATCCTGAAAAATCCTACTAGGGCTTATTGTTCAGGTTAGGTCTTATTTTTGGGGAAAGAGGGCAGTTGGTAAAGACATGCATCCCAAAGGAGCCAAGGAAATTAGCATTTCTTGGGAATAAGACCCTCATGAGACGATGCCCGTCTGGAAATGTTCCCTTCCACCCAACGGTTAAAGGTGCAGGAACTCGGTTCCCCAATCCAGCTAGAAAAACCCTGAAATGTCAGAGGATAATCTGGGGATTGGAGGGAAGGAACCAGGGATGGAAATTGCTGTTGAGTTAACGGGTCACCTAATTGGTTTCAACCCCATCTTCACGACAGGTAAGAAGAGGACCAAGGAGGTCCCCTCCTGAGTTCACCCTCTCTCTCTCTCTCTCTCTTTGCTTTCCAGGTTGACCCAACGGCATCATGGACATCGGAGGCCTCGAGACGGTGGTGGCCAACTCGGCTTACGTCTCCGCCCGAGGAGAAGGCGGCCCTTCCTCGGGCCGGGACAAGAAGATGCGGGCCAAGCTGAAGTTGCCCCACATCACGCAGTGCGAGCACCTCAAGGACACCCTGGACCTCTCGTTCAACTTCATCTGCGTGAGGCAGCCCATCGGGAAACGGCTCTTCCAGCAGTTCCTGGAGGAGACGGAGGAGTTCAAGGCGGCCGGCGGGCTGTGGAAGAGCATCGAGGAATACAACACGTCGGAGGAGCCCGAGAGGCCCCAAAAAGCCCAGAAGAGCATCAACAAGTACTTCGACTCGGCCTCCAAGGAATTCTGCTCCTTCCTGGAGGAGAAGGCCATCATGAGGGTGAAGGAAGACGGCAAGCACGGACACGGGGACCTCTTCAAGGAGTCCGAGCAGCACCTGCTGAAGCACCTGGAGGAGAAGGCCCTCGGGAAATACAAGGAGAGCCTGCATTTCTACCGCTTCCTTCAGTTCAAGTGGCTGGAGAGCCAGAGCGTGACGGACGAGTGGTTCATGGACTTCCGAGTACTGGGGAAAGGGGGCTTCGGGGAGGTCTGTGCCTGCCAGATGAAGGCCACCGGCAAGATGTACGCCAACAAGCGCCTCAACAAGAAGCGGCTGAAGAAGCGCAAGGGCTACGAGGTGAGGAGGTGGGGCAGAAAAGGCGGCCGGGACTGCGGGGCCGAGGAGGCTGAATCCACAGCCCGCAAGGTTGGGCTCTGCCTCGCAGAATACGCAACATCTGTGCACCTACCGTGTTTCCCCGAAAATGAGACGGGGTCTTATATTAACTTTTGCTTCCAAAAAACGCATGAAGGCTTATTTTCAGGGGATGTTTTATTTTATAGTCATGTTATCATCTTCTGGTTGATGCACCAGGGTGGAGGGCGGGGGTTTCTCTTCACTGGGGCTTATTTTGGAGGTAGGGCTTATTATGTTCAGGTGAAGCCTGTCTGTCTGTCTGTCTGTCTGTCTGTCTGGTTTGTACATACATAGCCTGCCCTTTCCTTAGAAAAGGACCCAAGACAGCTTGCAACCTTAAAAGATGATATTTAGGAACAAAACAATGAGTATACAGTACCAAGGTGGCGTGCATCACTAGACCCAACCAGTTCATTCATTCTTTCATGCTGCCCATCTGACTAGTGGTCAGTCTCTTTGTTTGTTTGTTTGTTTGTACATACATAACCTGCCCTTTCCTTAGAAAAGGACCCGACAGCTTGCAACCTTAAAAGATGTCCTGTTCTGCTTGGCAAGTAAGTAAGTAAGTAAGTAAATAAATATTTAAGAACAAAACAATGAGTATACCAAGGTGGTGTACATCACTAGACTAGACCAATTCATTCATTCATTCATTCATTCATTCATTCATTCATTCATTCATTCATTCATTCATTCATTCATGCTGCCCATCTGACCAGCGGTCAGTCTAGGTGGCTCACAACACAATAAAACATAGACATTCTATAGCAAATAGCTCCTAATTAAACTAATTGAAATGACAAGGAATTGAGCATACTAACTCAACCAACCAACTCAAATAATTTGCATGCATTGGCATCATGGGGCCCCCTGACCTGGCCATAAAAAGGGGGAGCATGGATCACACAACCTTTCTTTTGCAGCCATGAGGTCTGGAAGCCTGTGCATGGAAGGGTTTTGAAGGGGGGCTGAATGAGCCCCCCAAGACGCCAGGTCCCCAGCTTGCCAAGGGCAAAACAGCTCCAAAAGGGGAGGAGGGGGAGGGGCAACAGCAGGGACTGGAGACGACTCCCCTTTCCCAGGGGCAGTGGGTCCGTTGCTGGTCTTTGTCCGAATGTTAGAAAGGTCTCCTTTGCTAGCCTGCCGTTTCAGGTGTGGTGGGAGAATCTACCCCAGAACGCTTTCTTCCACCTGTGCCAGCCCAAGCCAGCTTCTCTGTCTGGACTGGGGAAGGTTGGCGCCACGCCAGCCTCGGGCAGCCAAATATCTAGGACAAACCCTGTTTAGATGCCAGCCTGTGAGAACAGGACGAAGCAGGCGATGAATCTGAAACAGAAGAAATGGCCTCTTGCCACAAGGTTGAACATTAAGAGCAACCCTCCCAGTTTTTAGGACAGAGTCTCTGTTCCTCTATCAGAACTGAGGTGTAGAAGTCTAGAAAGTGAGAAGCATTTTTGCTTCTGCAACCTTCGGGATTTTAAAAGCCCCCCAACCGGCTCCTAGCCCAGCCTTCTGCCTGACGAAGAGCAGAGCCGTAACTAAGATAGGACAAGCCAGGCTGATCCAAGGGGCCAACGCCGAGAAGGGCCAAAAAGGTCTCGCTGGGAGGGGTGCCAACCTGCCGATTGGGATTTGCTTCTGGGTGTGTGTATGTAAAGGTGACTTTCTGGGTGAAAGGACTCTCGCAGAACAAGTGGGTCCAAGGCTTGAACGGGTTCGATCACTGAGTGTATTCAGATGCAAGTCCCCGCCGTGGCCAGCGACAGGGCAAGCGCCTTGCTCTCTTGCACCCATGGCCGTCCTATGCGGTCCGGGTTTCCTGTCCTGCTTGGCTACCAGGTGGCTTCCTAAAGGTGCCCTTTTGGGATTGTAGTTATACGGCTTTACCCTGGATTTGTTTACCTCCGCGGTGTTATTTTGTTTGTAGAAGGGAAACTCCAGAGTCCCCCAGGGGCCTGGGGGATTCTGGGTTCTGTAGTCTCCCGAAAAGGAACCATCAAAAGTTCTAAGGTGGGTTTTACTGCAAGAGGGACCTGCTGGATCGCTCTGTGGTTTGGGCACAGAGGTCGTGAGTTCGATTCCCCCACGGGGCTTCCTTGACAGGGACTAGACTGGAGGATCCCACATGGTCCAGCTCTGCAGTTCTAAGATGATGATGATGATGATGATGGTTTATCCTTGCCTCCTCCCCCGAGTTCCCTCCTCAAAGGGAGCTGTGCCTTTATAGAAAAGGCACGGGGCAATGTCGGTGGAGAGAATGTAAAGGACCCAGTATCCTCCCGGGAGGCCTTCTGTGTAAAGCGTGCGAGCTGCAGGTGACCTCGTTCAACCTCGCACACTCGTGCAACGACACCAGATTCCTTCGTAAAACACGGGCTGTCTCAGATGCGGAAAATCACTGGGATAAGCTTGAGCCCCACTTCTTTCCTGAAACCGCAGGAATTTGATGCATACGGCGAAGAACCTGGGTGTGTGTGTGGGGTTCAGATAGAAAACCGGTGCCCAAAATATTATCCTGCATTTTGCGCTTCTTCTGCACGTGTGATGATGTGTGGCTTCGACAGCAAGAGCAAAAATAGAGCTTGCACGTCGCGCTTCTGGAGACGGAGGCAACGGCTACAGGCGGCAGAGGTTGGGGGTCAGCTCTGCCCCCTTCCCTGCTGTTCCTCCCTATAGATCCTGAGGCGTTCCCTCTCTTGGAGGACAGAACTCTAGGTGCTGCGGAGCCGATGCATTGCCCCCGAAGCTAGCCAGCTGCAGGAACAAGGAGGTTGCGCCGTTGCAAGTGCTCAAGAAGCTTGCACGGTGCAGGGCTTAGCGCCCCGGACTCAAGAGGGGTGCGGGTTCAAATCCCCCTTCCGCTATCTTTGGCCCATCGCAATCTCTTGTCGTGACCAACTGGGCTGTTGTTGTAAGGATAAAGTGTGCGGGTGGGCGTGAAGGAACCGCATCAAACCTTCTTGAGCTCACGGTATGTTGTTGCTCCATGCTGTCAAGCCGCCCCCGACTTAAGGGCAACCCCACAAACGGCCCACCTCCAAAAGGTCCCATACTGAGTTCTTGCAAACTCAAAAGTTGTGAGTTCCTTTAGGGAGTGAGCACATCTCGTATTGGAGTCACGGTATGTTGTTGCTCCATGCTGTCAAGCTGCCCCCGACTTAAGGGCAACTCCACAAACAGCCCACCTCCAAAAGGTCCTGTACTGAGCTCTTGCAAACTCAAAAGTTGTGACTTCCTTTAGGGAGTGAGCACATCTCGCATTGGGGTCCTTCCTCTTTTCCTGCTGCCTTTCCCAGCATGACGGTCTTTTCCCCTCCTCTTTTCCTGCTGCCTTTCCCAGCATGATGGTCTTTTCCCCAGGGAATCCTGCCTTCTCGTGATGTGCCCAAAGTAGGACAAGCCTCGGTTTCAACATCTAGCACCCACTCGTTTGTCTTTCTGGCAGTCCAGAGTATCCGTCAAGCGGCACGTTTCAAAGGAATCATTTCATTTTCCGCACGGACAAGACCTCCATAAGGCAAACAAGCAAAGTGAGAGCCGCTTTGTTATGGAGAGGGAACCCCAGCCAATCTTTCATCTCAGGCCGCAAAAGACCTCCTGGGTGCATCATCCTACCACCGATTTTGACACCAGGTGTGTTCTGTGGTGTTCCAGCACTCGGGCAGTGTTAGAACCTACTGTATTTTTCGCACCATAAGACGCACTTTCCCCCCACAAAACAGGGGGGTGGAAAGCCTGTGCGTCTTATGGAGCGAAGAAAACAGATTATATTTTCCTGTTTTCTTCTCCTAAAAAATTGGTGCGTCTTATGGAGCGAAAAATACTGTACCTTCCAGACGACCGGAGGGGCCATGGCAATCCATGGGTTGTGTGTTCCCCCACTTAAAATTCAAGCTCTCCCACCTTTTGCCGTCCGTCCTCCTCCTCCTCCTCCACCACCTCTTTGGGATTATTTTCAGCCTAAGGAAATTAGCCCTTCTAATCCCCCCCCACTCTCCCTCCTCCTGCCATGATTCCCCTTAAAGAAGCTTGGGGCTTAGGCGCTCACTGGTCGCAGCAGGAGATCCGGTAAAAGAGGTATCAGAGGGAATCAGTGCCAACGCTTGCTCAGCTGGGAGAGGGCAGTATGGTCTAGTGGGGGGAGGGAAGCCCTGGGATACCACCAATCTATGGGGAGAAAGGGGGGTGTCTCCTCCCACTCCACCCCCCAGTGATTGGAAACAAAGCAGAAAGCCTGCAAGGGAGTGAAGGACAGGTCCTAGTTCCACAGGTGCAGATGCTCCCTCCCCCCAAAAATCAGGTGCTACAGCCTTCTGTGCTTGAGACTCTAACCATTGGTCTCCAGACCCTAATCTCAAGGCCCTCTTCTTATTAAAGCACCTCTGCCTCCGGAGCTCAACACCTGTTAAGCGTTGGTGCCAAGGGCCATTTTTTTTAAACACCCGGGCTCAGCAAAGACACAGGTGGGAGATAATAGTTCCGCTTTGGACTACAACGTCCAGAATCCCCAGCCGACATGTACTTCTGTAGCCACGGGACACACACACACCCCGTCAAGTTTGTTGATATAGCCGTCTTCTGTGTGAAGGTCCTGTTTCCATCATCATCATCATCTTAGAAATGCAGAGCTGGGTGAGGCCCTCTGGCACGGTGAGGAATCGAACTCCCAACCCTAAACCACTGAAGCGATCTGGCAGTTCCGGTTTCGATCGCCATCCTGTGAAGTGGGATCACGATTAAGATGCACAAGGAGATAACCTACCGCCACAAGGGTGGGAAAACTGGACCCCGTATTCACTCATGAAACCGGCCAGAAGCAAGTGGAAGCGGGCTCCTGCCGGGTAACGTCCAGTCGCTTCTGATTTCTGGTCATCACACGAATAAATGGCAGCCGAAGCGTCTTATCATTAAGAGCCCTGCCCAACTCTACAGAACTGAAGGCCGTGGTTTCCTTTCATAGAGTCGAGCCATCCCACCTTATAGAACCACTTGGAGAGCACCAAAGTGCATTGAAAAGCATGGTGTGGGTGTCCCTTCCCTTGCCAGCAGGTGGTGCTATTTTATGCTCCTGATCACATTCTGCAAGAAGGAATGCGCAGTACAAGAGCAGACAATTTGACAGTGGACATTGCGCAGCCAGGTACACCAATCACGTTTCTTTGGGCTTCACTGAAGCTACCAAACCATCTGGCTTTGAACATCAGGAGTGGTTCTAGACGGCGAGAGATGATCCTTCTCGAGAAAAGTGCGTGTTCCATAAACCTCTGAGAGCGCTGTGCCAAATTTGGCATTCTCGAACCTCAGCTTGCTTGCTTGCTTGCTTGCTTGCTTGCTTGCTTGCTTGCTTGCTTGCTTGCTTGCTTGCTTGCTTGCTTGCTTGCTTGCTTGCTTTTTAAAAAGGCCAAATGACACAAGCTTCTAGACCTCAAGGTTGCACAGTGTGTTGGCAGGATAGCAAGAAAATCCTGGGAGCCGAAGAAAGAGGCCACCCGACAGAAATCCCAGTATTGGTTAGGGTTGCTTACTCTTTGCTCCTCCTTGTTAGTGGTGGAAGTAGATTAAATTGTGCAAAAAATGGCTGATATAGGTGTCATTTGCGCAGAGCTCAGAATCCCGCTTCCCCTGCTGTGGAGGCATGGACGAGGTCCCGTTCTTCCTTGCATGTCACCCTTGCAGGCTTCAGTCCTCATTAGAGCTTGCAAAAGTTGGGGGGTGGGGGGTTCAGAGTCAACTGTCAGAATTGCCCGGATATCATGCTCCCAGCATTATTGTCTGCTGAAAAAAAACCTAATAACACTAGGAAAGATGGAAGGCAGCAGGAAAATGCAAGATGGATGGACTCGATAAACGAAGCCATAGACTTGCAAGGACTGCAAGGAGAACAAACCTCTCCGTTCTGAAGGAAATCAACCCTGAGTGTTCGCTGGAAGGACAGATCTTGAAGCTGAGGCTCCAGTACTTCGGCCGTCTCATGAGAAGAGAAGACTCCCTGGAAAAGACAACAATTCTTGGCGTGAAGGATTGCTGAAGGAGAGACCCACCCACCCAGCCCACCCTTTTCGGGGCGAGGGTATCTTCTCTTTGAAGAGAGATGTTTGGATGTAGCCTGATTGAACGATCAAGAACTGTGAGGAGGAGAGAGAATGGAGACCTTGAAGTTTCCCATCGTCCACACTCAGAGCCACAGGAGAGAAGACGTGGCCACTGTGGCTGGCCACCAGTCTTCCTGGCCCGTTCCATTTATTTATTTATTTATTTATTTAATTTATATGCCGCCCACTCTACCCAGAGGTCTCTGGGCACCTTGCTATTCCGTTTGGGTTCTAAAAATAATCTCAGATTTTGCATCTGTGCCTACAAATCAGAGAGCCAAGGTGGCATTGCCACCGGAGTGATGGAGGAATAGGAGCAGGGCTTCCCAAACTTGGGTGTTCTTGAACTACAACTCCCAGAAACCCCTGGCCAGCACCAGGAGTGGTGAAGACTTCCGAAAGCTGCAGCCCTCCCTGTCTCGGGAGGTGGTGGGCACTCCAGCGCTGGAAGCATTCAGAATTGGACCACCCTCTGTCCAATCTGCTTTGATCTGGGTTCCTGCTTTGATCCTAGGATTCTGACGTGTGGGTGATCCGAAGTTGGGAATCACTCGACTCAGGAGACCGGGCTCAACTCCCCACTCAGACATGGAAACTCAAATGATGAATCATCATCACCAGGTCCTGTCAAGTTAGTTCAGGTGACCTTTTTCACCTAGGTTTCCTAGGTAGAAGAGCAACTCAGAAGTGGTTTTCCCATCCTCTTTTTCTTGGGGTGGGTCTGGGACGACGGTGCAGCTGGCCCAAGGCCACCCAGGCTGGCTTTTCTCCCAGGAGGCCCCATGGGGGAATCAAACTCCCAACCTCTGGCTCCACAGCCAGGGACCTAACTCATTGAGCCAACCAGCCAGCTGGACACTGGCGAAAGCGCCTTTGAAATATCTCACATACCTTGAAACCCTTATTCAGGTCTATGTATCTCTGGGACGACGGTGCAGCTGGCCCAAGGCCACCCAGGCTGGCTTTTCTCCCAGGAGGCCCCATGGGGGAATCAAACTCCCAACCTCTGGCTCCACAGCCAGGGACCTAACTCATTGAGCCAACCAGCCAGCTGGACACTGGCGAAAGCGCCTTTGAAATATCTCACATACCTTGAAAGCCTTATTCAGGTCTATGTATCGTATTTTTCTGTGTATAAGACACCTCCATGTATTAAGAAATCTAAGTGGGGCTTAGCAAGCGCAGGGGGAAAGGGATCAAAGCGCTGCAGGATCGCTTCGATCCCTGCTTTCCCCTCCACTTGCTTTTGTTCTCTCCTCAGCTTACTTCCGTGTATAAGATGACCCTCAATTTTTAGTCTAAAGATTTTAGACAAAAGTATAGTCTTATACATGGAAAAATGTGGTAAGTTGGATGCAACTTCAGAACAGTTGCATCCATACACATATGAATCTACGTCTCTGGACGTCAGCACCTGCTTTTGTTACACTTTTCTGGAGGTGCACATCCTCTTTTTTTTCCATGTGCATGGTTGTTCTGCTGGATTTTGGGGACTGGTCATCTTAAACGGACTGTTTCATGGGAGAGAAGATACCTGAGGACCTGCCGTAACCCTTCTCCTCCTGATCCTTCCTGTTTCCTTGCAGGGGGCCATTGTGGAGAAGCGGATCCTAGCCAAAGTCCACAGTCGCTTCATCGTCACGCTGGCCTACGCCTTCCAGACCAAGACCGACCTCTGTCTCGTCATGACGCTCATGAATGGAGGAGACCTCAGGTGAGACAGGGCCCATCCCGGGGAAGGGACAAATGCCGTGGAGTCCAGGCCAGGCGGGATTTTGCTGGCCTGGAGGGGATTTTTTCCGGCTGGCATGGGGAGGCAATCGTGCTGAATGGGAGCATGCAAAATTAAGACGTAACATTGCATGGCCCTATTTCCGATGCCGTCAGTAGAAGTAAAAAATCAACAGTGGCAATAAAACAGCTTCAAAAGGACACATACAAAAAGCAAAAATAATCTATGCACAACAAGATAAAGAGCACGCCATGACTGATTGTGAAACACATTCCACGGTTCAACATCCCGTCCTTCAACCTCTCCTGACTTTTTTCCCCTCTGGTTGACCCGATCTTCACTCAAGGATCTTTCTGGTTTTACAGAGGCCAGCCCGTTCTTGCTTCGAATGCACCCTCTAATGAATATGGGCACGCTCTTGTCACTGGGCAGAGCGCGGGTGGGCAAACGGGCCCTTTCGTCACATATTTCTGTTTTAATGACTGTCCTTATAGCTAAATGCCCATTTACACGTCGAAATTAGCACGTGCGTCGAATGCACCCTCTAATGAATATGGGCACACTCTTGTCACTGGGCAGAGCACGGGTGGGCAAACGGGTCCTTTTGTAACATATTTCTGACTGCCCTTATAGCTAAATGCCCATTTACGCGTCGACATTAGCACATGCACATTTCCTGCAAATCAGAATCCATCTTTTGAGGGACGGAAGAAATGCTTAGTCTATTTTTCCAAGTTTTGCAGTACCTCCGAAATGGGTCCCTTCTCTCTGTTCTTTGGATAACAATCAATATGAACGTTAGCGGGCAAAAATACATAAATAAATCAATCCAGCAACTGCTCCATCCTCAACATGGGTTTGCAGAACATCTCCAGGGCTTCAGCAGAGTTGGATCATGCTCTTAGTTTTTACCTGGTGCTTTTTTTTTTATTGATGCGATGATGGGAGACAGAAATGAAACGAGATTTCACACGCAGAACTTGGTTTCTACCTGTCCCGTTTCCTAAGCCAACTGCAAACGAAGCTGTGGGGATGTTGAACCCTTAAGGTTCTAATTTCTGCAAAAAAAATAAATAAATCTCCATCTTCAATGTGTCATGAGATCCTACACTCGATTCCTTATCTCTTCCAGGTACCACGTCTACAACGTGGATGAGAAGAACCCCGGCTTTTCAGAAGCCAGGGCCGTTTTCTACACCGCTCAGATAATCTGCGGCTTGGAGCATCTCCATCAAAATCGCATCATCTATCGGGATCTCAAGCCGGAAAACGTCCTTCTGGATGATGCAGGTAAAAAAAAGACGGAAGTCATTCATTTCTGAACCAGGGCTTGGCAAGTTTCTGGACGATGAATCTCAAACTCCCATCGCCCAGCATGCCTAGTGGAGGATTAATTTTAAACTCTCTGAATCATTTACCAAAAATCAAGCTTTCTAATTCTTGATTTTTAGAAGAACAGACCCAAAACCACCAGGGCGGTACCCGGCTTTTCTCTGTAAGAGCCAGGAAAAATTAACTCATTAGGTTATAACTCCCTGTGCTGGCTGGGGATTCTTGTATCTGTAGTCCCTGGAATTAACACCTTTCCAAGCTCTGCTGGAGACATAAGCCATTGCTCAGCGGCCTGCCTGATCCCGGAATTGGTTTCGTGACTTTACTCAATCTCTAGAGATCGTTCTCCAAGCATTTGGAAAACGAGCCACTGAACAATGAGTCATTTGCCTGAACTTTGCTCAAATTAGAATCAAACTAGGTTTTGGGAGAGAGAGAAAACCTTAAAGCAATAATGCTTGCTAGAAGCAAGGCAAACGTGGGGGAAGACATCAGGGCTTCCTCGTGATCTCATGAGGACTAGTGGATTTTTTAAAAATCCCACTACACTTAATTATGGAATTTAGTGTGCTATGGAATTTAAAAGCCTGAATGATTTGAAAATAAAGTGTGCAAAAAGCTTTACTTGAAATTACCAGCACTATTAGCTTCCTATTAAAAATTGCTTCAATTTAAATCAGATTTCCTATTCCTTATAAAGGCTTCTGCACTTTCTCTTCTGCCAGGGCATGTGCGCCTTTCAGATTTGGGTTTGGCCGTTGAACTACCGGACGGAAAAGACAAAACCAAAGGTTACGCGGGCACGCCAGGTGGGCATTTTATGTGGGTGTATGGAGGGCAGGGAGGTGGCTTAGGTTTCTGGCTGTGGAGCCAGAAGTTGGGAGTTTGATTCCTCCACTGGGCCTCCTGTGAAAAATAGCCAGCCTGGGTAGCCTTGGGCCAGCTGCACCGTCCCAAGGTTGCCCCCTAGAGGAAGGGAAGGGTAAAAGCACTTCTGAGTTGCTCTCTACTTGGAAAAACTCTGAACAGGGGTCGCCATAAATCTGAATTGACTTGATAGCACCCTCGAGCAGGGGGTTGGAATGGATGACCTTCGAGGCCCCTTTCCAGCTCCATGACTTTTTATGGGAATGAGGGCCACAGCCAGGCATCTAAAGAGAAATCTCTGTGTGAAGGCTCCTGTGTGATTCTCAAACGTCTCCGTCCCACAGGATTCATGGCTCCGGAGCTCCTGAAAGGGGAGGAATACGATTCCAGCGTGGACTATTTCACCCTGGGAGTCACCCTCTACGAGATGGTCGCTGCTAAAGGACCTTTCCGTAGCCGAGGGGAGAAGGTACGACGCTCGCTGTGCTTGGGGAGCCAAGCCTGGAGGCTCCCCCTCTTTTTTCTGGATCACAGCTTTCCCAGAATCCTTAGCCTGGGTAGACAGTGAGCACCACATGGGAGTCGTAGTCCAAAAAATGCAATTTTGTAGATTCTGGCGACCTCAACCCAAGAAGACAGGGTGGAGGGCCGTTACTTGGGGGGGGCAACGCAGGGGGGAGTTTGACCCAAAGAGAAGAAATTTGGAGGGTGCTAAAGTTGTTCCTTACAGCTCTGATAGGATCTGGTTTATTATTATTGCAATGATAATTGCAATATCGTAGGTCTGAACATGCGTTCCAAAGATTTTGTGCAGGAGAGGAGGACCGTCCACCAAACAGAAGCCACTGGTGTTTTGAGTCTTGACCCAGCCAACTGGAGGTTTGGCATCCTAGGGGCTGATCCTGTTAGCCAGTCATGGGAGTTGACGCGATGCTCCCTTAGCGCCGAATGAGACCCTAGACCTGCTCTCTCAGTGTCTTGGTGTTTTTTAAACCACCCCCTCGGCCGTCTGCTTGCAGGCCAGAAGGGTCCCCCATTCAGTCCCTCCCACCCCGGCTGAGACAAGGATATCGTCCCCGTATTACAGACAGCAAGACAGGATCGGAGAAGCCGTGATTTGCTTCCGCAGACCCTTTCCATGCTCATGGCCCAAGAAAGCAAAGTCCCCAGAACTTTGGCTTCTTATAAATGTCAAGCCCAAACAACTTGGACCTTAAACTTGGCTTACGTTTTGCTCCTTAAAACACATCCGTAGGGGGTCTAAGACAACCGCCAGCATCTCCCAGCTGGGCTGGGCTGTGTAAAAAACCTCCGAAGGACAGATAGGGTGAGACAGGTTTGGGGGTGACTTCCACCCTACAAGCTGGGGACGTCCGCCAGCATCTCCCAGCTGGGCTGGGCTGGGCTGTGTAAAAAACCTCCTAAGGATTTTATCTCCTGACTTCGGAAGACGGGCTCCCCCCTCCCCTTGACGTCCAAGCCCTCCACACAACAATGAGGGTGTTCCTCTTGTGGGGCTAGCAGGGGGGGGGGGGCTTCTCCGACCTTTTGTGCAGCCTCTTGTGGTTGCAACAAGCGAGAACAGCAACAAAAAGTTACAGCATAGATTGCTCCAGGCAGGTTTCCTGCCTTTCCCTGGAGGATTTTCTCTCCTGACTTCGGAAGATGGGCCGGATTCACAGCATCGGCCCAAAGCAAGGCCGAGAGATATTCTTTCACAGCTTTTCAAATATTCCCTCTTGCTCCATAAACACCTTTCGTCCTCCCCCTCCCGTCTCCTCCACCTGCAGGTCGAGAACAAAGAGGTCACCCGCCGCATCTTAAACGATCCGGTGCAGTATCCGGATACGTTCAGTGCCGAGTGCAAATCCTGCTGCGAGGGCCTGATGGCCAAAGATCCGGCCGGGCGCTTGGGCTTCAAGAACAACGCCTGCGACGAGCTGAAGAGTCACGCGCTCTTCCAGAAAATGAATTGGGGCCGGCTAGAAGCAGGTAACCTTCTGCTTAAGTGTAAGTGGAGGAAAAAGGCCCTTCTGAGTGCCTCCCTGAGCGATTAAATCCCTGGTCAGCCTAGAAAGGAGAGCCCAGGGGAGCCCTTTAACTTCTGGAAGGAAAAGAAGGTCAAGCTTCACCAGAGATCAGAGAGAGAGAGAGAGAGTTGTTGTGGGTTTTTTGGGCTCTTTGGCCATGTTCTGAAGGTTGTTCTTCCTGGCGTTTCACCTGTCTCTGCAGCCGGCCTCTTCAGAGGACAGGAGTCAGAACTCTGTCTGCTTTAAGTTGTTTATAAGATCACCGTAATCACCCAGTCTCCTGAAAAGGACAAGAACCTGATCCCACAGCTGCAAATACTCAACTATCCCACACACTGCACCAGAGCACAGACAGAGTTTCTAACTCCTGTCCTCTGAAGATGTCGGCCACAGAGACTGGTGAAACATTAGGAAGAACAACCTTCAGAACACGGCCAAAGAGCCCGAAAAACCCACAACAGCCATTAGATCCCAGCCGTGAAAGCCTTCGAGAAGACAGAGAGAGAGAGAGGGATCAGAGCTGAGCTGAGTGACCAGAAGGAAATTTGTAGGGTGATCTCATCTCTGTCTCCCGATGCCCACAGGAATGGTGGAGCCCCCGTTTGTTCCTGACCCCAAGGTGGTCTACGCCAAGGACATCGGCGACGTTGGTGCCTTCTCCACGGTGAAGGGGGTCGTGCTCGACGATACCGACAAGGCGTTCTACGACGAATTCTCCACGGGGAACATCCCCATTCCCTGGCAGGAGGAAATGATCGAGACCGGGGTCTTCGGAGAGCTCAACATCTGGGGTGCCAAGGGCACGACCCCACGGGATCTGGACCGCAACGCGCGCCCTTCCTCCGACGCTACCACCAAATCAGGGACTTGCCTTCTGCTCTGAAAAGCGGGGGGGGGGGGCTACTGGCGAATTGTCTCCGAGACTCCCCGGATGACCCACCTGGTTCTCACTGGACCCTACGGCCACATGGCTTGGCATTGGCCACACAGGAAAGGAAGAAATTTTGGTGGGGTGGTGGAAGGGTGGAGAATGCTGCATACTCCACTAGGCCACACTCCCCTTGCCGGAACTGGGGGAAAGAAGCCACCCACCTTGACCCCACCCCATAGCTTCCTCGCATAGTTTAGCCTCTCGTTTCTCTCTCGATCCTGTAGGGAAGCGTGGTTTCTGCTGAGCTCCCCACTCTTTGCTCCAACCAGTAGGCATAACAGCCTTTCTTTAAGCATTGGAGGAGATTGGACTCCCTGGCTTGTTTTGAAGCAAAGTGAAAAAAAATCAAAGCGCGCTGCTGATCTACCGCCCCATAGCGCTTAAAGTCCTCCCTGGGCGGGTTTACAATTTTAACTACGCCAGTGACCCACAGCCCTCCCTGCCCCATTCATCGACTTGGAAGAAAGGAAGGGTGAGCGAACCTCGAGCTGGCTGTCGGAATCCGCTGGGATCGAACGCTGGCTCTGAGCACAGTTTTGATTGCAATATTGCAGTTTAACCACAGCGCTGGAAAAGAAACTGTGTGCAGATTTCTGGGTCCTGCTTCCTGCCTGGGGGACTAGGATGTGGAGGCTAGTGGTTAGAGAAAGGAAGGCACCTTGTCCACCAGAGAACAACCTCATGAACATCGGGAAACAGCTTAGCGTCTAAAACACCCCCAAACGCCTGATCCCAGTGGGCTTATCCTGATCCCACTGGCAGCTGATCGCGGGGGTGCCAAAGACGTCCCGATAACCTTCCGTCGACATTCTAATCTTTCTAGAACACTTTATGAGTTACCTGATTGCCCCAACCCTTTAGTGAAGTAGATGAGATGGGAAAGAGGGGGAACGATGGGGGACCTTCGGGCACCCCCGTCCAAAGCCCGGCCCGGCCCGGTGTGTGGATGGATCAACCCATTTCTACAACATCCACTAAACTTTCTGGAGCCCGGACCGGTGGGAACGGGGACCGTTTCCGGCGTTCAGTCTGGGGCCGGTCGCATAGAATTGTCCGCCGGGCGCCAGCCAGTGTTTCTCGTCCCGTAACAATAAAAGAGGCTCTCGGCCTCCACAGTGGAAACAGACCTGGGGTGTCTCGTTGTTTCGCGGTTGGCAAAGGGGGGGCCTCCCTCCCCCATTCAAACAGCAGCCTCAATCCCCACCCACCCACCTAAGAATTGCAGCAGGAAAGGGAGGGGTTAAATTTATCCTCTAATGCCACTCGAAACCCCGTCCATGTTAATCCACCCCATATAGATGCTGTGGGCCTCTTGTAAAAAAAAAAAAGTTGCACACACCTGGACGCCAGGTAGGAAGAATACCTGTAATATTGAGACTTGGCTCTTCTTCCACCCTGCCGTCAAGTCAGGTTCTGAGTTACGGTGACTTTTTTTTCAGAGTTTTCCAAGTAGAAAGTAACTCAGAAACGGTTTCCCATCCCCTTCTTCTGGGGGTGGTTCTGGGACGACGGTGCAGCTGACCCAAGGTCACCCAGGCTGGGCGACAGAGGAGGGGAACGGAACGGCCAACCTCCGGCTCCCTGAGCTATCCAGGCAGCTATAATAATAATAATAACAACTGCATGCCGTCAGGTCAGTTCTGACTTATGGGGATCCTTTTCAGGGGGGGGGTTCCAGGCGGGCAATACTCGGAAGTGGTTTCCCGTTCGCACGGTGGGACTGTGAAGCTTAGCCAAGGCTACAGAGGCTGGCTCTTAGGAAACACGGCAGGGTATTCCTTCCCATCCCCCCCCCCCCCCAAAAAAAGTCTAGAGGCACGTTTGAAAATAAAACAAGCCAGAAGGGACTCGAACTCACATGGATCCGGTTATATTGGTCACCACAATTTAAGTACATTTGCTGCACGTAATCTGTGGCGTGGGGGGGCCAGCGGGAGCAAGAGGGAAACAGAAGCTGAGGGAGGAAGCTGAGGTGAGCGAGCCATAAATCAGACTTAATCTCTCCGAAGCCAAAAGGCAGGCATCATACTTAAAATGTGGTCTTTGACTACATATCCCAGTATCCTTGGGCCGTTGTGGGAAGCTAGAGCCTTGTGGGAAGTGTAGTCCGGAAGATAATTTCCCGATTCTCTGCCTAGAAGACGGCTCTGCCCGGTTTTCGGGACTCTTTCTTCCCCGCAAACCCCCCGAATGCTTTCTCTCTCCTGGTCACACCGGGCTTCCCCCTCCCTCCAGGTTGGCAGGATGGGAGTTGTAGTCCAAGATAGACGAAAGGCACTCACATTCATTCCTGGTCTCCTTTTCCCCCCCTAGAGCTTGTGGTAACATTCATTTTTGGGGGGGGGAGGGGGAGCTGTACCGGCTGGTGGATTATGGGAATCGTAGTCCCCCCTCCCTCCCCCAAAAAAGGACCTTTGTCACAGCTCTGTCTAAGGAGACAGCCATGGGGGAGACAGAGGGACGC